AAATTAAAACTCTCTTTTAATTTATCACCAATTCACACTCGCCGTCCCAGATTGATATCTAGCAATGTGTTAGGACAATACATGTGACAGGAAATGTCACATGGTATGACAAAATCAAACTTGTTCGTTTACCGTGAAACTACTATCCCTTCGTCAATATCATTCGATCAATTACGAGATAAGAAAGTGTGTCAATCAAGATTATCGATCATATCTTTCACTCCACTATTAAGTCAATATAAATTAAAAACTCCTTTTCGACTTATGAGTATACCTTGGCCAAGGATTTCATTATCGACTTAATTGAATGAAATGCGAATCATAATCTCTTACTATCTAAGAGTGACGAATCCTCTATTGGTCATTCACAACCTTCATATGATTCTTGACATACCCGAACAATGCCATATTAGTAGCCCTTGACAGAGCAATATCCAACACCACCAAAGTATGACTGTCTTCATATAAGTTACCATGACGACCTCAAGTCAAAGGACCAATTCCACTACCGAATGTTAGAGATTAACCATTGACACTCAGATAGTTATCCATGTGAAATCTCTAGGCAGATCTCCAATATTTTGTTAATGTTTTGTTCTATAACAAAACATCCACATGTTCATTTAATTGTCACCACACTTTAGCTTGTGAGACCAGCTACTTACTTCACAAGTAAGAAATGCCACATGTGATGGTCTATCCGTAATAACGATATGCGTATCTCGTTACTACTTACGACCATGGACGATTTAAAATTCAATCATATATATTTTATATCTCACAATCACAACTCCTTGTGATTAACAAATTACAAAGATTTGAATATATGGACTCGATTATTTAATTTAATTGTCTACTAATTAAATAATAGATCTACTGTTAAATTGCGTTAATTATATATTGAAAGTATTTATATCCAAGGTTGATTGGACATAGGGTATAACACTTACATATTGTACCTAATAATCACAAGACCAGACATCACCTTTGCTACAAATCTGCTTTCCAAATTCAGGTAAGAACCAACTGACTTACATTTCCAAGCTGCAAAAAGTGTCCTGAGATACATTAGAGGGATGCAGAAATAGGGATCTGGTTTAGGAAGTCAAAAAACCTGGTTTTATTGATAATGACTGGGTTGGTTCAGCTGATGATAAGAAAAGCACTTCGTGCTATGTATTTTATCTGGGATCAAATGTCATTTGCTGGAACTCGGTAAAACCAAAAAAAACATGGCTCAATCAACAGTAGAGGCAGAGTATGTGGTTGCATCAAAAGCCCCTAACAAAGCTATCTGGCTGAGAAAAGTGCCGGAGGATTTTAACTATAAATTATTGTGACAACCAATTTGCAGTTGCAATGGTTAAAAATCCAGTGTTTCATGGAAAAACCAAGCATATAAATGTAATGCCCCAAATTCTCGGAACCCAAAGTGTTAAAAATAATCGATCTTTATTTGGTTCGACCCCTTTAATGTTAACCAAATTAATTTTCAAATTAGAAAGTTTTTGGATTTTGAAAACATATAAAAATATAATGGGAAGTAGTTATTCATATAAACTTATAAAATTATGGAGAAATTTGGTTTTGGAAAATATTTTGAGGCGATTCAGCAATTACGAATTGAACAACAGTGGAAGAAGAATATATTTGACCTAGCAAATGTTTATTAAAATTTGTGAAATTTTTACAGGGACTAAAGCATTGATATATGTACCACAAATAATAATTTGGGGTCTTGATGATAACGATTAAAGCATGAAAATATTGCTCAAACATGCTGGACAGAAAACCCGAATTTGAAATGATGCAGTTTAACAAAACGGACATAACTTTTTCTCTAGCTAATGTTTTAAAGAATTTCCAAAGGTTACTATTTGAAGACTCATAGACCTTTCAAATACTACTGATTTCACTCTAAAATATACAATGTAGCTCAAATTATACCATTTTCAAATGGAAGACATTATCTGGAATTATAATCAGCAGTGAATAAACTTCGGTCATAGTCATACCAACGTTTCCAAATTATGTTTGACATGAATAGCATATAAAACTGAATGAAACAGATGTTTAAACGTCTTTAAAAGTGTTGTTTAGTTATACATAATACATTTACGTAAATTGAAAATTTTACTAGAAAGTCGAAAGCTTTTCAGATTGCTGAGCACTTGCCACTATGCCAAACCGCCGCCATGCCTCAAATCAACCTGTGAGATTGTAGTGGGTGTGAGTACTACGAATAATACTCAGTAAGAAGATAGAAGAGTAAATGAGAAAATACATGTATGTTTTTAGAAATGCAAACTTTGATTATTTGTGTCAACGTCAATTTCTTTCTCTTATTTTGAACCACCAAACGGTGCTTCCTTCATGAGTAACACAATAATAGTGTCAGTTTCAATCTCTTTCTCTTATTTGAGCCACCAAATGGTGCCTCCTTCATGAATGACACAACAATACGTTTGATGCAAAATAAAATTAAAAAAAAAAATTCTTAAACCACTTACACAAGTGCCAAGAACACCTCTACCTTAATGCTTGAAGTTTGAATACCCTTTTGTGTTCGATATGTAAAAATTCAGCGTACTCTTTGCCTCCTCTTTAGAAAAATTTCAGATTCAATGTGGGGCTATGGAAAAGGGGCAAAACAATTTTATGTATATGTATAAATGGAGGGTATAAATGACTTGGAAGAAATGAAATGTAAAATCCAATTGGCTTTTAAAAAAAATGTTGACAGCCCTTCAATGAACATTTAAGAGAATAATTGTTTAGGTTTCATTTCAAGTCTTTTGGCATTTCATAACCTTTGGCATTTTAAAAGTTTTTTTTTAGTGTATATATATTGAAATGAAACATATAGATTATGTAGTATACTTTTGTGTTTATATAATTCCATGTATAAATCTCACACCTATTAGAAATTTGAATAAATTGGAATGAAAAGTTAAAAAAACTGTTTCATTAAACAATTAAAAGAATAATTTGATGTTTCATTTCATGCATTTAAATTTGTTGTTAAATGTCTTGACTATTCCATCAAGTTTTCAAACGTGTTTGATTAGTGCTTTGAATATTCAATCAATTATGAATTTTTTTAGGTCGTTACAACTCTCCCCCACTTAAAATAATTTCGTCCTCAAAATTCAACTTACTTGTTTAATGAGGTCGGGATACTTGGCTAAAACGTCCTCTTCCCTTTTCCAAGTGGCCTCATTCTCACTATGTCTACTCCACTGGACTTTGACTAATGGAATCTTTCGATTTCACAGAACATGGTCTTTTCTCTCTAGAATCACTATAGGAACTTCTTCGTAAGTCATATCACTATGAACATCTAGTGATTGAACATTCACCACATTGTTAGGATCTGAAATGTACTTTCTCAACATAGAAACGTGAAATATGTTGTGCACTGCTGATAGTTCGAGTGGCAATGCTAAATGATATGCCACATTCCCAATTTTTTCAAGAATCTCAAATGAACCAATAAATCTTGGACTCAATTTCCTTTTCTTTTCCAATCGTAGTAGTCCTTTCATTGGTGCCACTTTGAGAAATACTTTCTCTCCAACCTCAAAAGTCATTTCTTTTCTCCTTTTGTCAGTATAGCTCTTTTGATGATCTTGGGCGGTCTTAATTCTTGATCTAATTTTATGTATAGCCTCCACAGTCTTCTCGACCAATTCTGGACCTAAAACTTTCCTTTCACCAACTTCGTCCTAGTATAATGGCGAATGACATCGACAACCATATAAAGCCTCATATGGTGCCATGCCAATAGTAGCTTGGAAGCTATTGTTGTATGCAAATTCAACTAACAGCAAATGATTTTCCTACTTAACACGCAAGTCTAGGACACAAGCTCTCAACATATCTTCAAGCATTTGGATATTTCGTTCAAATTGTCCGTCAGTCTGAGGATGGTATGCAGTACTAAATGTTAACTTGGTATCCATAGCTTTCTGAAGGCTTATTCAAAACTTCAAAGTAAACCTTGGGTCTTTATCCGATACGATAGAAACTGAAACATCATGAAGCCGCATAATCTCTTTGATATAAATCTGTGCGAACTGTTCTAAGCTATAGGTTGTCCGAACTGGCAAGAAATGAGCAGATTTTGTAAGTCGGTCCATTATCACCCAGATCGAATCATGACTTCCCACTGATCTAGGAAAACCAATGACAAAATCCATTGCAATTTTTTCCCACTCCCATTCAGGTATGTCCATAGGATTTAATGGCCCTAACTGCCTCTAATGTTCAGCCTTTACTTGTTGACAAACCATACATTTGGAGACAAACAAAGCTCTATTCCCCTTCATATTTCTCCACCAAAATGTATCACGCAAATCTTTATACATTTTAGTTCCACCTGGGTGTGCAACATAAGGAATTGAATGAGCTTCAATCATAATCTCATTCCTCAACACTTCATCCTTCGATACGTACAATCGACCCTTAAACATCAAGGCTTTGTCTTCAGCTATTTCAAATCCTTTCCTCTTCTCAATTCCCACATCAAACCTGATCTTTTCCAAAAAAGGATCATCTTTCTTAGCGCTACTATTCTATCCCTGAGTGCTGGCTTCACAGTAAAACTTGCTAACATTGTCGATGTCCTTACTGGTGACGTTAAAATTTCAATTCTCAAGTTCTCAAAATCTCTGATTAAATAATCCTGCCTCGTACAAAGTACTGACAACTATCCCATACTCTTTCTACTCAATGCATCAGCGACTACATTGGCCTTACCCGTATGGTACAAGAAAACATTGGCCTTACCCGTATGGTACAAGATAGTGCAGTCGTAATCCTTCACCAATTCTAACCACCATCGTGTCTCATATTTAACTCTTTTTGGGTAAAGAAGTATTTGGGACTCTTGTGATCGGTATAAATCTCACACTTGCTCTCGTATAGATAGTGACGCCAAATTTCAAGGCGTGCACTACCGCTGCTAGTTCTAGATCATGTGTAGGGTAATTCTATTCGTATTACTTCAATTGCCTTAAAGCATAAGCAATGACTTTCCCCTGTTGCATTAAAACGCATACTAAACCAAGCTTGGATACATCATTGTAAATCACAAAACCTTTCGAACCGTCTGGAATAGTCAATATTGGTGCAGATACGAGTTTGTCCTTTAACTCTTGGAAACTCTGCTTGCATTTCTCTGACCATACGAACTTAGTACCCTTCCAAGTCAATTGTGTCATAGGACTTGCTATCTTGCAAAATCCTTCTATAAATCTTCGATAATAATCGGCTAAACCCAAAAAACTCCGCACTTTTCCAACATTTGTAGATTTTGGCCAATTGGTCACAGCCTCAACTTTGGACTGATCCACTTCAATTCCACATGCTAAAACAGTATGGCCTAGAAATCCAACTCGATCTAGCAAAAACTCACATTTCTTGAATTTGGCATGTAACTTTTCCTCACGCAATGTTTCTAAAACTATCCTCAGATGTTCTTCATGTTGATGAGAATCTCTCGAGTGTATCAATATGTCATCAATAAATACGATGACAAGCATGTCCAAACAACAATAGAACACTCTATTCATCAAGTCCATAAACACTAAGGGGCATTCGTCATGCCAAAGGGCATCACTGTAAACTCATAATGTCCATATCAGGTCCTAAATGCCGTCTTTGGTATGTCAGTCGACTTGATCTTCAACTGATGGTAGCCTAACCTTAGATCAATTTTCGAGAACACAGATGCACCTTTCAACTGATCAAATAGGTCCTCAATCCTAGGAAGGGGATACTTATTCTTAATCGTCAACTTTTTAGTTCATGGTAGTCTATGTACATCCTCGTAGTACCATCTTTCTTCTTTACAAAGAGTACCGGAGCTCCCCATGGAGATACACTTGGTCTAATGAACCTTTTGTCTAGAAGTTCTTCAAGCTACATCTTCAACTCCTGTAATTCCTTTGGTGACATTCGGTATAGAGATTTGGACACAGGGATAGCTCCAGATATCAGATCTATCGTGAACTTCACTTGTCTATCGTGTGGAGTACCCGGTAGATCTTCGGGAAACACGTAAACATACTCTCGTACTATTGGCACATTGCCTAATACTTTCTCTTGAGTGGATGTGCTAGTAATACTAACAAGATATTCTTGACAATCAGCCTTTCTTAACATGCTCTCTGCTTTTAAAGCTGAGATAACTCGAGGAAGTGCCTTAATCTTCGATCCACAAAATCTGAACTCCTCTTCTCCCGGTCTTCGAAAAATTACCTCTTTCTCAAAACATACTATCATGGCTCGATTCTCACCCAACCAATCCATGCCTAAAATAATATCAAAATCTTTCATCTCTATCACATACAAGTTAGCCTCTAAAGTCAGTCCATCAAAATCTATCTGTACCCCTTTATCTATCCTATCCATATCAATAGTTCCACTTGATGGCATACTCACCTCTAGTACACTATCATTCTTATGACATGAAGCATTAATCTTAGCTAGACACGCATTAGATATGAACGAATGTGTCATGCCAGAATCAATCAGAACGTAAACAGGAATATTAGAGACGGATAAAATTACCTGGAATCACATCCGAATTTTTGGCAACCTCATCGTGAGTCAAAGCAAACACTCTTGCTTTTCTTTTTTTCTCTTGTTTGGGTTTCTTAATTGATGGGCATGAAGAAGCCATATGACTGGGTTGACCACACTTATAGCATAGATATTTTCCATACAAACATTCTCCTTGGTGAAACTTGTTGCACTTAGGACATTGGGATACAGGAATGCTTGACTGGCCCGCATGCATCTACTTCTTAAATTGTTTAGTACTCTTATTCTTGTCTTGCTATTTCCTTTTCATGAAGTCTTTATGTTATCCTTGATTTACCAACTTCACCCCTGAGTAGGTCACTATTTGTGCTTTCTTTACCACTGCTTGAAAAGTGGTGAGATCATGTAAACCCACAATCTGCCTGATCTCTGGGCGCAGGCCCCTCTCAGCTTGGTACTTACAATGTGGGGCATATCGGGACAATTTCTCAAATTTGCTCTCATACTCAGAAAGGTCAATATCTCCCTATACTAGTCTTAAGAATTCTAGCTCCTTGTCGTCTCGCATAGCTTGTGGGAAAAACTTTTCTATTAGCTCCATCTTGAATTTTTCCCACGTTAAGTTACGTTGTTCCTCCTCGATGCAAGTGCGTGATGCGGATTCCCACCAATGGCCTGCTCTCTCAATTAGCATAAACTCTACACATAATACTTTTTGATTTTCTGGGCAAGAAGTGTGCCGAAAAATCTTCTCGATAGTACGTAACCACTCCTCAACCGGTAGAGGGTCCTTTCCACCATCAAAGGTAGGTGGTCGATATCTACAAAATTGTTCTACCGTCAGAACAGGCGATGCAGTCGGGTATGTTGGTGGCACCAGCAGAGCTTGTGGAACTAGTGAAGCTTGAGGTACTGGAGGTGTAACCTGAGTAGCCTGAGGTGCTGAAGGTATAACCTGAGCAGCCAAGGCCTGTCTCAACTCATCAATCTCCCACCTTAACTCCCTAATTGTCCTTGCTTGTGCCATATTCCTATATGCCAGAATAATTGCAATCTCATTTAAAGGAGTCAACGATATTTGTGCAACATAGGAAAAAGATTCATAGCTCAGCATCTTTTATTATTGTCTCATACAAATCCTTCAGGAGATAAAAAAAAATAGTAAAAGAACATCTGGTGCTATTCCACATCATCATAAAAGAAATCCTACTAAACACCAACAACAATTAAACTTGACAAAAACTAATAAAATTCACTTATTCATCATTGCTATCATAATCATTAATCCACCCTCCATGAGTCCTAGGTTTCTTAGAAAATTAAACCTCATCATCTGAAATAAGTGAAGGTGCATCTTCACGAATGTGCGTCTCAATAGGTACACTATCGTCCTCGGGGATCTCAAGTTGGGCCAGCTCCCACTGCTCAATCAGCTCTACGCAGAAGGCCTCATAATCAATCTCTCGAGGTAAGGTAGGCACAGCAACCTCCCATAAATAATTATAAACCGATTCGGCCACCTCTAGCCATTCTTCTGGCAATGTCTCAATAAGGAGACAGGTGGCTCAATGACCAGTTACCACATAGCCTAGTTGTCTCACTTCTCTCCATCTTACTAACATCTCCCAAATGTGTTGGCCCACGTTGTACATTGAATTACACCAATACTCTTCATATTGCCTAAAGATCTCATATCGATGATGCATCGATGAACTCGACTCCCTACTAGTTTTCTTAATCCGTACCATCTGAGTCATACCAATTATTCAAAATCCAATTAGTGGGTGTCTAATAAGTTTTAGTTAATTCTCGAGGACTAAAACAAAGATTTAATCTCGTCACAGTCTAAAAAAATGCAAAATACATTACTAATTATGTACAAAAGGTATTCAAACTATATGCTGATATTCATACATACATTTCAAATATTGCATCTCAAATAAACTTTCTCATAATCATCGCATAGATGCAATCACATTGGTGAAACTTTCTTTACCT